AAATTCAATTTAAAAATTTTTTTCATTCTATCCATTTTTAATACCGGGAAACGAAAATTTTGTTCAAAGGTAGCGAAACAATTGAAATGTGGATTTTTATATATAGAAGATTCGTTTCGTCTATCGAAAAATTACAAGAACAACTTGAATATTACAAAACTGGATGTGAAAATTTATTTACTGGATGTAAAAACGTTTGAATTTATACATAAATTTATTATTCCATACGTGTAAAAATTTTGAACTTCGTAAAAAAAAGAAAAAAAAATGTAGAAAGAACGATAACAATCAAGAATAGCTCGCTTTTATTTACCTCCGCAAGTTATGAATCCAACAATCGATCCCAAAACCTTCAAAGCTAACAATTTATCATGCGTCAGAAACGAAAAAATCCCCTCCCCCCCCCAAAAAAAAGGAACCAAAGAAAAAAGATTTCAAGAAATCGATTCGAACTGTCGAAAGTGCAAACCGTAGAAACGATCGTCAAAGAGAAGAATCGGGGGGAAAAGAAAGAGGACAGAAAGGAACAAGCGAGACGAAAGACTCGAAAGAAAAGAAGCAGAGGAACAACAGAGAGAGAGAGAGAGATTGAGAGAGAGTTGGCTCGGCACGGCGAAGCAGACGAGACCCCACCGACACATTTTCTGTGTGGTCCTCAATTATGTTGCTTCCACGGCCCCCGTAATGAAACGCTACCGGCTAATAATCCAACGCGGGTCTTGATCTTCGCCGATGATCCAGCTTTAACCGGCGGGGCCTCTCTCCTGGTGTCTCTTTCTCTCTCCTTCACCCCGGAAGCGCCTCGACCTCCACTGCCACGTCGACCGACGAAATTCCAGCGACAAACGCCGTCGTGAGCGTTTCTCATTCGTTTATATCGGCCGAAACCTCGCGAGAGACGAGAAGTTTCTTGCCAAGGGCAAGAGATTACGCGCCACACCGACTTACCCGATCTCTCGCGATCGGCCAGATATCGGACGGTCGTTCGAATTTCGCGGCACGCCGCTCTCGAGCCGCAAACCGTTTTTATGGGTTCCATTTGCGTTTATACGCGCATCGATGATCGTCGATGTCGTTTTCTTTTTTTTTTTTTTTTTTTTTTTTTTTAATGGAAACGGAGAGGTTGCAACGTCGGACAAGTGACCGGAGTTTTTGCTTTTCGTTCAGATATTTACACGGAGCTTAAACGAGGAAGGACGGTAGCACGGTTCTGGTTGGTTTGATGAAATTTTTTAACGAAGCAAGACGATCGGGTTGATAATTCGAAGTAACGTAGGAAATTTCGAAGGGATTCGGAGATCACATTCATGATCAATTCTGTCTTTTGCGTATCCTTGATCTCGTTGTTCGCAACATTGGAAAACAAAAATTACACGCAAGTTACTCAGACGATTGAACATTTTTCGTGATTGATCCGAATTATATCATTCTCGTCATCGAAGAAAACCGGCCGATTTTCGCCGTCACTGATCAAACCTCTAGATAAATTCGTTTCGACGACGAGTAAAATCTCGCTGTGAAGGAGAATTTGACAACGATTCCGATCGGAATCGCTCCGGGGAATCCGAAGCTGAGCCATTCGTGAGATACGAATACGCCTTCTTCTACGTCCCTTAATTTCAGCAAGCGTCGATTATAAATTACTCGCTCCGGCTGAGCCTCGCTGGAATTCATTAACACTTCCATAGAGCCTAAATGTGATTTGTAGCCGCGGTTCGCTAGGGGGAAATAGATTCGTAGAGCGCGGGCACGCGGGGACAGTCGATAAATCGTGGAGCTTCCGCTGCGCCGTTTCGTGGAAGGAATTAAGGGACGACTAGGACCGAG